AATTTTAAAGTGAAGAGCATTTTACTGGGACAACTTTCATTTTTTAAACTTTAATTCCTGTTCCTTTGCTATTTGCCACAGTTGTAGGAGAAGGACATTTTTGAAAGGAAAACCAAGAAATAATCATTGAGGAAAAGGGTCCACTGTGTTTCCCTAAAAAATACAGACATAGGGTCAACATCCCCTCACTCCCCATCAAAGAGCACAGACCAGAGGGACAGGAGAGGCCACAGACACAGGGATCTGTGTACTGGTCAGTCTAAAAATACATGGTCACTAAGGCCTGCTAGAGATCCCTAAGCCAGTACCTTCAGGGGCCAGGCAGGTATTAGGGAATGGATTCATCTCAGTGAATAAGCGTGCCTTCATCTCTATGTTGTACATGTTCCTGCTTTAAATAGAAGCATGGTCTAATATTTGGAGTCGATAATGTGGGAGAGTGATGCTGATGGGCTCTCTCACTGGGCCTTGGTGTCTCAGGAGTGATGGGGACAGTAGCAAGTAAAGCACATAGTCCTCTGAAGTGAACTACTCTCAGAGCAAGCTCAGTAAAGCCACAGAGATGGGCCTGGAGTTGCCATGCCTCCAACATTTTCCAGAGCAGCCTCAGGACCAGGATCCGAAAGCAATATTTCCTGATCATTAAGTATAGGCAATGAATGCTAATGTCTTTAAAGTTCTGTGGAGGAAGGAAGCACAGACCTCCAGGGATGCAGGGCCTGAACTTATCACAACAGGTGGCAGGCCAGGGAAGGTTTGGGGCTGGTGACAGGAACAGGAGCTGTCCAAGAAGGATGTGTGACACTCTGCTCTTCATAGGAAAACCAGCCGGAGACAAGGTCAGATTCATCTGAGGGGATACTAAACACTGTTGGAAGCTGTCTTTGTGGGGCTGCAATTGGAGCCCGCTGAGTGGCTCCAAGTTTGTACCTGGGTGGGGGGGGGGTGTGGATGAAGGAAAGGCTAGCTATAAACGATAAAAGACAGAGACACAGGATAAAAGTCAGGAGGGCAGATCAGTCAATACTGAAATGCCACGAGTTTATTTTTCACCACTCTTATATACCTTATAGGAAAAGAGAAACATGGTATCATGTATATGGGAACAAATAGACTTTTCTTCCTCACTTATTCTAAGGGTTCAGTAACCACACATTAACTTCAACTTCTCGTTCCCTAGCCTTGAGGATCAGGAGTAGCCACACCTCAGATTCAGGTCTGGTGTTATTTAGACTAAGACAGCCAAACATCCTACTGTAGCCACACCTTTGACCTTGTGACTTGTTGAACTCTCTGTCCTTGTGCTTAGAAAGGGCTACTGAGACCTTCCAGACTGGACTAACATGAGACAGAATGCCAAGAAATAAAACCAGGCTTGAGGCTGTGGCTTCACCCCTCATAAATCGGGAGCAATTATGGTAAAACAAGCCACAACACCTTTGTAGTATATATGGTAATTTTGTCTGTCCTGTCTATTCACGTTTCTTGTGCATGACATTTGGTTCATGTCATCTAATTCATTTACTTGTCCCTCAAGAAGTCCCTTCTATACAAAGGAGAAAATGTCTAAGGCCCAGGCATGCCCAACCTTCTGACGTCATGACAGTATTGGCATCTGCAAAGTTCACACTATTTAAGAACGTGCAGGGAGAGGGGGGGATATGTTCTGCGATGGTTTAAGTATGTTTCCAGTTTTGTGTTGGTTTTCATTCACAACTACCCTACACCTCACACAGCCTGTGGTCCACACAAAGGACACCCCAGAGCCCTCAGAGACTTCAGAGACAAACATCCACAATTACCGAAGCAGTGGCTGAAAGCCACAGGGTACAGACTGTGAAGTAGCCTCCAGTTTAAGGACCAAGGTGTCCCCCTGGCCCCTCCCCCAGGCCAGTGAGTTATGGACAGAGAGGAAGAAGCTGCACTTCCTTTCTGTGGCTTCCCATTTCACCTAAGATAAAGTGTAAACGTTCACCCCGCCAGGCCCTGCAGGACCCATGTTCTGACTAGTTGTCTGGCCACTGCCCATGAAATTCACCCTCAAGGCACATTCTTTCACTTTCTTAAATGGCCTGAGCAAGGTCCTCTCCTGAAACAGCAGTCTGTTACTGGTGTTCATGGGGGTAGGAGGTTATTTGTTTTGGTAGGGTTATGGTGGGGTAGGGGACCATGAGGAGTTATTGCTTTCTCATGTTGGGGTGAGTATTCTTTGATGGTTACAATGGTCCAATTTGGCACATAGAAAGAGTTTCAGAGATGGATTTGGTGTGAGAAATAATGATTCTTGCTTTATAATAAGAATATTGGAGTCTAGAAAACACATCAGTTTATTTTACAACTTTGCTAAGGTGGGCATCAGCCCAGAGAAAAGGCAAAAAATGGGTGGTCTTTGGGTTTAGTGTAAAACAGTGGTTTTAAAAATCCTATATCACTGGGCTCAGCAGTTAGAGGAGTACTGGTTGTTTTTATAGAGGACCAAAGTTTGATTCCCAGCACCCACATGGTAGTTCACAACCACCTGTAACTCCAGTTCCAGGGGATCTGATGCCTTCTTCTGACCTCAACCTTGCACCAGGCACACTCATGGCAGATATACATACAGGCAAAACATTCACACACACACACACACACACACACACACACACACATGCTTCCTTGCCTGCTGAATTCACTGGTTGGTTCTTCAGGGAGATGCAATCTTCCCAGGGTTTAGCAATGCCTCTCCCCAGAAGAATTCCATCCTGTTGGTTCAGGATGGAAACCTTTATCTAATGTATTTCCTGGGACTGGAGATTTCTGTCAGGTCCAAATGAAACTCCAGTTCCCTAAACTCCAAAAGTGATTATGTCTAGAAATGACAGTCTTGACCCAGCTCAAGCTGGGCTATAGAAGGATTTCTGGTGGTTAGATAAAAGCCAGCATTCCTCAGCTTGTCAAATGGGTTTCTTTCCTGTCTGCCAAAAGGGATACATAGCACTCCACTGACATATATTTGTGCTGGCCTCCAGACTCCTACAGTCCCTATTCACAAGTTCCCATTATGTATTTCAAAGTCTACACTAGCATCATGGTTGCAGCAGCTCTGGGCTCCCCTCCCCCAGCTGCTCACCCTCCTTATAAGCTGCTATTCTCTACTATTCCCTGACACCACCTTGCTTGCTCACCATCTCCACTGTTCTCTCTTCTTATTCTCTGCTACCCTAGTCCTAGCCATATTTCTCTCTCTGCTCTGGAGTCTTCCAGATCTCTCTCTCTCTCTCTCTCTCTCTCTCTCTCTCTCTCTCTCTCTCTCTCTCTCTCATAAAATCCTTCCCCCTAATGGAGCAGACATTTTGTTAGTTTTTTTAACTGCACCCTTTGTGTACAGTTCTCTCCTTTTCTGGTATGTGAGCTCAGTCGCATGGTAAACTGCCTGTAACTCTTCAACCCTAGGCTGAATGAAGTAAGAGTGTCTAGGTAAGCAGGTGCCAGCTGGCAGCCAGTGGAGAAAGGGCCTCCTGCTTGCCTGTGATTCCCCAAGGAGCTCCAAACACAATTCATGCTGAGAATGGACCACAGTGGTTTATTTCTTACCGTGGTTATCATGCTTAAATATGAGTGTGCTCAGCATCACTGAACTATACATTTTTTTTAATGCTTACAAATTGGATTGTATATATTTTATAACTTTTGGGGGTGTTGTTTCAAGACAGGGTTTCTCTGTGTAACCCTGACTGTCCTGGAACTTGCTCTGTAGAACAACCTAGCCTCAAACTCAGAGATATCTAAATGCTTTTGTGTCCGAGCGCTGGGATTAAGGGTGAGCCATCACCTCCCAGATTGTTATGTTTTTAATCAGGGAGAGAAACTAACATGATAAAGACAACACTTGACTACAAACCCTTGTAGAAAACCATTAATAGCTGTTGTGGTCTGTATGTGAAATGTTCCAAGAGACTCTTGTGTTTGAACACTTGGTCACCAGCTGATATCATTGTTTTGTGGAACCTTCAGGAGCTGGAACCTTGCAAGGGAGATTACAGGGCATGGAGGTGGGACTTGAGGTGTTATAGCCCACTCTCTGCTTTCTGACTGTCATGCAATCATCAGTAACTTCATATTACTGTCAAGAGAGACTGTATCTCTTTAGACTGTAAGCCAAACAACCCTGTCTTCCCATATGTTGCTTTTTGTCAGACGTTTCGCCACAAGAACAAGAACAGTAACAACTAAAAAAGATTATTTAGAAAAAGAGGTTAGAAGTCATCAAACAGTAACGAAGTAGACACTAATGTTATTACTGGTCATAAAGCAAGAATGGGCACTATAAAAAAAAAAGGAATTGACTAGGAGGAAGGCTCTGTGTGTGTGTGTGTGTGTGTGTGTGCATGTGTGCATTTGTATGTGGTAATGTTGTTACAAATCTCCTTTTTCTTTAGAGAAAGATTTGTGTGCCAGGTATGGTAGCCCACGCCTTTAATCATAGCACTCAGGAAGTAGTGGATCTCTGTGAGTTGGAGGCTAGCCTGATCTACATAGTGAGTTCCAGGAAAACCATAGATGCATAATAGGAAAAGTCTGTTAAAGAAAGAAATGAAGGAAGGAAGGAAGAAAAGAAAGGGATTTCTACTAGATTGATCTATTCCATCTATAGATATCCATGAAACCAGAGAACATTAAACAACTAATTGAAAATAGTTACTAATCACATAATAGTAATTTCTAATTACTATGAGAGTATGAGCCCTCTGGGGATTCTGACCCAGGGGTGCAGAGACAGTCTGGGAGAACATCTCAGGAGAGGACATTTAACTAGAGACTTGAAGGCTGAGCTAGTATTACCTCAGCCCTCCTCAGCATCCGCTTGTGTAGCTAGTCTTCTCAGATCTCTTCCTTTCACAAACTACCTGAGCCCTGACCACCTTTACTTCTAAGTCACTGGGAGACAGCTTGATTCTTCCTGGCTGGCACTCTAAGAAGCTAGCAGCTCAGATTTACCGTCCTGCCTCTTGTACCTTCAGCAACTGAAGCATCCCAACCTCGTCAACCTCCTGGAGGTCTTCCGGCGTAAGCGGAGGCTTCACCTGGTGTTCGAGTACTGCGACCACACAGTGCTGCACGAGCTGGATAGATACCAGAGAGGGTGAGTGGTGCATCCCTTCCCACAGAGACAAAGAAAGGTTTGTGAGGGGGAAGCAGCTGCAGGGACTTTTTAAAAGGCTATGTAAGCAGCCATGCAGGGTGGTCCCTGTGTGTAACTGGGAGATTGAAACAAGACAAACTGGCAGTTTGAGGCCACCCTGGGCCGTAAGCCCTGCCTCCAAAACAAACAAACAAACAAAAACCAAACAACAATAAAAACAAACAAACAAAAAACAAGTGAACAAAAGTAGTGCTCACCATATCTCTGGTGCTGGGTTAACAGCCAAGAAATTTCGGGGGGTGGGGGGAAGATGTTGTGAAATAAGTTATAATGTCATTTCCATGAAGAACCCATGAGTAACATAATAGCAGGAGAGACAAACCTTGGCTTCTTTGGCTCATATCTCTGTATTGAAGTTGCCGCAGCCTCAGAAAGAAGTGGGGGGGGGGGGGGGGGGGGGGGGGGTAGTAGATACTTTGTGTCCAACTAGGGAAGTAAAGTGGCTTGTACTTGAGGAGACAGCATTTCTAAAGTATGGCGACACACACCTATGATTCCAGCTCTTGGGAAGCTGAGGCAGGAGGGTCACCAGTCTGAGACCAGCCTGGGCTACAGAACAAGACTCTGCCTCAAAATACATACATACATACATACATACTACAATTACACATGCATACATGGATAAATAAATAATAAAAAAGTACAAGAGAAATGGCTAAGAGGATGTTTAAGGCTAGAAGAAACCTAAAGCAATCTAAGTATTTGATTTGCTGCAATAGTCAGGGCTCCTTTAGTACAAGTGGCAGAAACTCAGCTTGAGGTGGGTGCCAGTAAAGGGCACAGGTGTAGGTGACTGTTACTGGAAGCTTGAGAGTGACTGGTGTGTGTGTGGCACAGGTTAGAAGGAACTGGGAAAGGACAAGTGCAGGCTAGAGCATGGCCACAGCTTACACATAAGCATACACAGTGTTTCCAGGAGAAGGGAACTTCTGGGAGAGGAAACTGCACATCGAATCCCCTGGATTTCTGATTGGCCAACTGGAGTGATGTAACTATCCTGAGAGTCATTCACAGTGGATGAAAGGAGAGAAAAATTATTAGTAGGTCATTGGTGTTATAATTTAAAATGATTCGGGATCAAAAAAAGGCTTCATGGTGGAGGCATCGTTCATTTCAAGATGGAATTGAGAGAAGTTGATAAGGGAAGAATATCCCATTTTCTTCTGCCACCCATTTCTGGGAGTGGGGTGTCGCCTCCCCATTTGGCTGGGGAAATATGGAGAGTGCCTGGAAGGTCAGAGTTGCAGAATAGTGGACTGCTCTTGGCTCATGTCCTCACTCCAGTGACTGGAGGATGAGACTCTTGTCACATACTTCTCGGCTTTGCCCAGGAGCTTGTTCTCTTGTGATACTGGTTATATGTCATCTGCCAAGGCCTCCTGGTGGATGAGATTAAAGTGGCTTGCGGCTACTTAACATCCCTGAAGCATGCTTTTTTCATGTTCCAAAGTGTTAGAGCCAAGAAGACAGGCACTGCCCTTCAGAAATGACGCATTAAAACAAGAGAGCGTTTGCTGTGTTGATGTTTGCCCTTTCAGCAGTTTGCAAGTAACACTCAAAGGAAATTTACAGTGCAGTTGCTCGTGCTGTGTGGTATGGTACAATGGAGACACTACAGGGAATGCAGCTACTCATGGCTGGCCCATTGTTCCTATACCATAACCAACACAGAAGCTTTCTGGAACCTCAAATGTCATATAATCTCTCCATGTAACAAGCAAGACATTAATTGTGCACCGGAAAGTAGCTTAGCTGAGTGTCCTCTAATCTAATCTAATCTAATCTAATCTAATTACTGTCTACACGAGGGCAGCAACAAGTCCCACGTGTCCGGGACTTGAACCATCTAAGACTGTCTGCCTGCTTTAGCTGCCTGACACAGCCAAGGTTATTATACCTTTGCTTCTGATCAACTTCCTGAATCATCAGGATACCCATGACCTACATCATCCTTGGATTTGAGTCATTTGCTCCAGCAATACACAGAACCCTGGGAAAAATTTACTCACATTTTCTGCCTTATTACCAAAACAAAAAACAAAAAAAAAACAAAAACAAAAACAAACAAACAAAAAAACAACCAAAAAGTCAAAGGATACAGATGAAAAGACGACATGGAGGGTAAAGTAAAAGTGACGATGTTTGGAATTCATGCCTCTGTAGATATTCTACTCTCTAGGAAGACCCACAAGTTCACTCAAACCCCATCCTTGCGGGTGCTTACAGGGACTCCACTGAGTAGGCAAGGTTGCTAAGTGACTGCATGGAGAATTCAGCAAGACCTGTCTGTTGAGATTCTTCCTGGCTTATCTGTGATACAGTCATTCCTCCAGGAAAGGGAACAGGGCCCCTGGGGATGAGGAGGGTCAGGAACTGATGAGATGTTTTCTTCAAGACCATCTATCTCTAAGACAGAGATAAGGGAGTCATGAGTTTGTATGGCCTGTGAACCAGGCAAGGTAGAAAAAACTCTGCATATAGTTGGAGATAGATGTGTGTGTGTGTGTGTGTGTGTGTGTGTGTGTGTGTGTGTGTGTGTGCCTGCATTAGACTTTTTGACTTTGTGACAAATGTCTGAGAGAAACAGTTGTTTAGAAAGAAAGACTTATTTGGGCTTGTGATTTCAAAGGCTTTGGTTCATGGTTGGCTGGCTCTGTAGCGTGGGGCCTGACATGGTCGATGCAGAGTACCATGATGGGGAGGTTATGACAGGACAAAGCTACTTGTCTCATGACAACCAGGAAACAGAGAGGAGTGACAGGAGAGGTCAACATTTACCCTTCCTTCAACGTAGGCCCTGTTTCCTATAGCTCCACTCTCCCCCAATAGTCTATTCAGATTTTGAGCCCATTGGCTAATGGAGCCGCCCATCACGTGAGAGCCTTTGTGATCTAGCTGTCAATGGAAAGGCCCTCGCTGACAGAGCCAGAAGCATGCAGTCAGTAATTTTCTCAGCACCCCTCCATCCAGTCAAATGACACCCAAATTTACCATCACAACAGAGTGGGATTGGGGGAGGGGAGCAAGGAAACCTTAACTACCATAACTGCCAGCCTTGTTCAATTTGATTAAAGACATTTTACCTACTGAGAAGACACTCTCCAGAAGTGTGGATGCAGCCAAGCTGCCTCAGTGTGATGACAAAAACAGAGTGACTGCTTTCCCTCACCCCAATTCTTGGTTCCTCATAAAGATTATATACTGATTTTTTTTTTTTTAAACAAGTCACCTAGCATTAAGCCAGTAGACAAGATTTATACATAAATGAGAAAGTTGCTGCTTTGGTTTTATGCATCATGATGGGCCACTTGTGTGGTGTTCAGTTTGCTGGAGTGTCCTGGTGTCTGACCAAGTCCCGTGTCCGGAGTAGCCAACTTGCCGGCTGCTTTGCAATGAAAGCATCGCCTGTGTTCCGAGACGAGTCCTCTGCTTTGCCAAGATGCTTTCATACATGTTTTATATACAGCGGAATATAATCTTTAGATCTATTAATGTAAATCATTACATTAAGTTGCATTATTTCCAGCCACTCTTCCATCACTGACTATTCAAGAAGTTTTTAGCATTTGGTCTGATAAATTCTACAATTTTTTTCTAAACACAGGCTTTTCTTTTTCTTTACTTTCCCTTTAGAAGTTCTCAAACTAGGACTCCTGGGTATATATTTTCTCAAACTGAACAAATTTGCTTTACCACCCACATTTCAAACTGATATGTATTTTTCCTTATAATCATGCTAACTCAAGTCCTTTTATTAAAATATTTCGTGTGAAGTCTATCAAATGTGTAAGGAAGAAATAGTAGCAACTCTGTCCAAAACTCTTCTAGAAAGCATAGAAGACACATTGCCTAAGTCGTTTACTGAGTCCAATCTATCCTGATGCAAAAACCAGATAAAGGTGTTTCAAATCGAGAAAATGATGAGTGGGAAAAAAAAAAAAAAAAAAAAACCAAAACACCGATGAGTGTTTCTCATGGACTTGGATGAAAAACTACTAAAATTATTAGCAGATAATGTAACATGAAAAGTGGCCGGCAGTTTTAGACATTGTAAACTTCCTGTTTTCAAACTTAATTTATTTTATGTGTATGAGTGTCTTGCCTGCATGTATATCTGTGTGCCATGTGAATGCCCAGTGTCCTCAGAAGGTAGAAGAGGTGGTCCATCTCCTGGAACTGGAGCTATGGATAGCTATATGCCATTGTGTGGGTGCTGGGAACTGAACCAGGAACTTCTGCAAGAACAAGTGTTCTTAACCTCTGAGCCATCTCTCCAGGCCCTGTAGGCTCCCAATTCTGATAGATGAAGATTTAGTTCTCATAAATCATTATCCCCTCTGCTTCCCTACCCAATCCTCCAAATATTTGCATTATTAATTTAATATTAACTACTATCAAATTATAGATGAGCATTATACCATAATTTCATATTGTATATTTGTTATTATTCAAGACAGGGTCTCACTACATAGCTCTGATTGTCTTGGAACTCACTATATAATAAACCAGGCTGGCCTTGAACTCACAGAGATCCACCTGCTTCTGCTCTTCGCTGTGCTGGCTTTCATATTGCATTTTTCCTCAAATTACTATCTGCTCTTCCCTTTAAGTTTTCTACCTCTATGCTTTTCTGTGGGACACTCACATCTGATTCCACTAGTTCCTATTCATTTATTTATTATTTCTTGGTGGCATCCCACCTTTAATGCCCTGTGTCTCCTACTGTCTAGCTGCCCTCCTGGGACCCCCTTTTGCAGTTCCCCCTGAATTTCTCTGCAGTTGAATTCCTCACTTCCTGAGTTTCCTATCTTCCTTTTTCTGGGTTTAGTTAATCATTTTTCCCCCCAGCACATCTATCTTTAACTGGTTAAAAAGATAGTATAATCACTCAGAAATCTAGGCTAGATATTCCTAATGATCCCCACAACCACCACTTCAGCATCCCCTTGGAATGAAGCAGATAGATGTCCTTTGTGTTTCTAAGGTAAAACAAGCTTCCCAAAGCAAGAGGAAGGAATATAGCACAGCTGGGCTCCCAGCACTGGGGAGGCAGAGGCAGGCAGATCTCTTGAGTTTGAGGCCAGCCTGATCTGCAGAACTAGTTCTAAGTCAACCAGGGCTGCAGAGTGAAACACTGTTTCCAAACAACAACCAAAAAGAGCTCAGCTCAGCTTCACTGGAAGACAGCCCCCAAGTGTGTGTCTCTCTCTTCTCCACTCTTCCTGGGCGGACGGGTTCCAGTCCACCCTCCCACCCTTCCCAGAAAGAGCTGGCCACTTCTTACTTTGTACAGTTTCTACACTAAAAAGTGTGTAACAGCGTGCTCAACATTACAGGAATATTAATGATAGACTATTATAAGTCAGTAGTCAACACTCCTCTTGCATTATTTATTTTGGGAAATGTCTTTGGAGACTGAAGTTTCTTGGCACTCACAAGTTCGTGTCAAAAACTCACTGAATAAACACAATATGTTTTTTTCTGAACAAGAGATGGATGCTGGGGAGCCATTGAAGTCCAATTCTTACTTGTCTTTTTCTAGGCTGTTTTTTCCTGATAGGTGAGTTTTCCTGATGTTTGTGCCTACATATCACCAGAACAAGGAAAAGGATTTGGTGACAAGCTACCTCAAGTCTGAAAACAATCCTAATCCAAACAACGTCCTGTCTATTCTTCCTGGGGGTGGGCTCCTCATTTCCGGCACACTGTCCCTGTGTCTGTTCAAGCATCCTTTGATTTGCCTGAAAGGATTTCCTGCACATCTGGTCCCTGACAGCAGTGGCCTTGTGGCCTCTCCCAGAGGCTAGAAGTGACTTTCTGTGACTACCTTTAATGCTAACTGCATTTCCTCCCTGGTGGCCAAGGACCACAGCAATATTTAATTTTTGATTCATAAAAATGTTAAGTCCAGCATGTGTGTGTCCGGGAGTGGTACCCCCAAATAATCAACTCCCTTTCTAATCACTCCTTGCCCCATGCTTGGAATGCTTCCTTCCCGATGAGATGCCTTTTACCAGTTCACACACAGCGTCCATCAGGACTCTAGGCCACCACGGTAAAGTCAGCCACGAGAGCGTGAGGAAGGGACGGGAAAGTGGCATGCTTAGGTGTTGCGGTAGAGGAAAGAGCAGAAAGAAGTGAGGATGACGCAGCTGGCAAGAAGAGAGGTGCAGTGCCGGGAAGGGAACGCAACACTGCGTCTTTCCTTATTTTGAACTTTACTTGTATGGTATGCCACATAAACCTCTTCCTTGTCTCAGGAAAACCTCATCCCTCTCCCTTCAAATAAAACAAACGAAACAGGCAACTCAGGCAGGTAACTTGTGTGATGCGCACACAGGGAGAAGTCTTGCTTCAGGACCGTAGTCTAGAGCACCCTGAGCAAAGACACAGCATTGTCTTTTGTGCTGAGTATTAACTAGCTTTACATTAGTAAGGCTCTCCTTGCAGAAGTGGGGCTTGGTGGCCCATGCCTGTAATCCCAGCACTTGGAGGCTAATACAGCTTGAGCTCGAGTTTTATGTCAGTCAGGAACACCATAGCAAAGACCATGCCTCCACCCTCTCTTAAAAAAACAAAAGAAAGAAAAAAACAGAGGCGTTCAGGTTACAGGCAATACCAGAACATAAATACTTGTGGAAATCCCTGTGGATTTTCATGATTCTTCTCTGTAAACATCCATATTTGTATTTTTGTTAATTTTATTTCCTTACAATCCAGCAGTATGCTGGCCACACATTATCAGCAGTCTGGACTTGTGAACTGAGAGGGCTCTGTGTCTCAAGAGGATTCTGTCTCCTGGGGTTTCTCAGTACTAAAGCCTGCCCTGGGTTGGATTGGGTTTCTTGAGCTGAATTCCATGTCTAGAGTGAAGAATGTGTTTGTGCTGTTTTTGTTTTTATTAGGGTACCAGAACATCTCATGAAGAGCATAATTTGGCAGACACTGCAGGCTGTAAATTTCTGCCATAAACACAATGTAAGTCTCATGATCTCCTTTGAAAACTCAGGCAGCTTTCCTTAAGCCATGGTTGAGCCTTGTTCAAAGTTCATATCACACCTTCGTGCGTATAATTTTTCATAAGCCTGGCTGGAGTAAGAGACTGAAATTCCAGCTTAACTTTCCCTTTGTATACAGATCCTATGACACATACATTTTAAAAACAAAAACAAAACAAAACAAAAAACATTTAGGGACTGGAGAGATGGCTCAGTGTTTAAGACACTGGCTGTTCTTCCAGAGGACCCAGGGTTCAATTCCCAGCTCCCACATGGCAGCTCACAATGATCTGTAACTCCAGTTCTGTTCCAGGGGACCTAACACCTTCCCACCAATGCACATAACATAAAGATAGATAAATTATTTTTAAAACTAGTCATATTTTTTAAACTTGTAAAATGTGCAAAATGTGTGGTAGAAAGAACCTCATTTACTTAGAGAACCTGTATTGGATTGGTTTCCCCAAAAGGTTTTGAAATTGGGAGGGGCAACCCCAGCCACCTCATGCCTGGTCAGCTGCAGTTGCATGGGTGGAGGTCCCAAGCCCAAAGTCCAAGTGCTAGTGTCTGCTTTGGTGAGATAAGAGTGCTAACGTGGGCCTCTGGTTATCCTGGCCACAGCTGGGCTCTAGGGAGTCACAGTTCGAGGCTGCCCAGGTGACATGGCTTCATAGATGCTGAAAAAAATCTACTGCCCTCTCCTACCCATACGGTACTGCCCACTTCCTGGGAACCGCTAAAAACAAACAAAATCCCAGATAATAATGTTAGAGTTTCATTCTAGCCATGAGTACAATTGGATTGCAGCCATCTATCATCTCAACTGACAAGTCACCGAGCCTGAGGGGTTAAATCCCCTATGAGTATGACCTAGGAAGTTTCTTCTGAAGCTTTTCAAGGAGAAAATATGAGAACAGCTATTATCGTGCTTTCATTAGCTCAAGCCTAAAATCTCTGTCAGAGCTGGGATGGAACTCCATGGCCTAACATGCATGGGGTTTGACTCCAAACACTAAAAAAAAAAAAGAAAGAAAGAAAAAAAAAAAAGTCACCATTTTACAACAGAGAAGGCATGGACACTTCCCATGGCTAGTCACTGTGAGTGGTTAGCATTTCCTGGCAGTCAAGTTTCAGCATGGGAGGGAGAGTGGGGGAGGGACAGAGGGACCCAGGGAAGGAGAGAGGTGGGGGTGGGGAGGAGGGAATGAGAAAGCCAGCTGTCCACACAGCCCTGGAGGGAAGATCTGAGGAAGTGGAGACAAATAGAATGCATACCACAGCTCTCTGGAGAGCCCCAGACTCTGTCCATGTGCTAGGGACATGTGGGTGGGTGGGGAGGACCTGCTAAGGAGCGAGGGTGCTGAGGGGGAGGACACATTCTTGTTTTCCAGTCCCCCTGCCCGTATGTCATCATGATATTCATGGGAGGACCTATTTATAGCAGCATGTAAAATGACTGGTGAAGGACTTCAGACTCCAGAGCCATCGATTACTGAGAAGCAGATAGGATAACTTAACCCTCCCCCAACCTTTCCAGAATAAAAATGCTGATGGGAAGAGACCATGCTGCCCTCTCACACCCAGCATCCTTTGGAGTCGGAATTGCTGGGCCCATGAGGAACCTCTGTCCCCTTTCCAAATTCTAGAAGTCAAGGATAACCCCAAGGGTTTCAGGCATCAGGCCAGAAGTCCCTGGGGCAGCAGAAAGATCCAGCATTTCCCAGCAGAGAGGAAAACCCTTGGAAAGGGGGCCAATCACAAGGAAGCCTGAGGAATATTTTGTCCCAACTTAATTTTTAAACATAGATGTTGGTTAAAAGTTGTTGATTAAGAGGTTTATTTACTTTTCTTTGTCAAAGAAATTGTCATTGACTAAGAAGGCCCTGGGAAGTTTCTTAAGCGTCCCTCTGGGTAGCTTCGCCCTGTTAAAGAATGTGGCTAGATACCAGGCGATGAGGCCGCGCAGAGCAGGAGCCGCCTCCCTGCCCAGCACAGGCCTCGCTGTGCGACAGAGCTGACATCTAGCGACTCACCCCAAAGGGTGAGGCTGCAGCCTTCGCTTGTTTATCTTGTCAGGACAAATGTCAGAGTGGGAAGGGAGATCTCTTGGCAAGCTAGAGCTTCCCGCCCAATCTTCCCAGCTTATCTCAGCAGGCCCAGGGCTTGTCCTGTTTACCCAGCAGGCCATGTTTCAATGAACAAAGCTAACGCACCCATCTGTAGCGCCGGCCACAGGCTGTGGGCCTCAGAGCCCTTGAGTTCTTTTCCCTTCACTTACAGTCGTCAGGTTACCTATGACTTCTAGTTAAATATGAAGTGCCCTGTTGTACTATATACTTGGGCTGGAGGTGTAGGTCAGTGGTGGAGTGCATGGATAATCCTGGGTAGATCCCCAGCACTGAAAAAATAAAGTCATTTATCCAAAATTCAAATGTAACCAGGTGTCTGTCATACATGTTTTGATTGTCTGAGTCTCCCCTCTAGCTTTTTTTGTCCTGTCACACTTCTTGGTTTTGGGGGCCCTTTGGGAATTTAAAATGATTCTGTCTATAGGTATTGAGCTAATTTTAGTCTGTTGTTTTCTCATCCAACAGTCTAATGAAAGATTAAAGTGATGTATCCATTATTTGCTAAATATTTCTGCCCTTTACTCACAGAAGATATTTGCAATTGCTCCTTGAGGACATTTTTGTTTTGTTTTGTTTCTCACCAGTGCATACATAGAGATGTGAAACCAGAAAACATTCTCATCACAAAACACTCAATCATTAAGCTCTGTGACTTTGGGTTTGCCCGGCTTCTCAGTGAGTATTGACGATGTCTTGGGGTAAAAGAAACATTCTTGCTATGATAGCTGGTCTGGATACTACAGAAAGCTGGTTCTCATGTTCTGCCCAGGGAATAACCTTGCTATAAATTACAGTTCTTGCAGAATTTTGTAATGGATATAACTTGAAAAACGTACAAACCCACAATGGTGTAGATGCGTAGGCTATGTGAATTGTATGTGTAAGATGTACTGCGGTTGTTATTGTAAATCATGCTAATCTCCTGATTTCTACCCTTGCCTCCCTTCCTCCCTGAACTGACACTTTCCAGAAGTAATTCTTTAGATCAGTGGCTTTTAATCTTGGCTGCAGATTAATACATGAGGAACTTTAAAACCTGTCCTGGTAACCTTGGGCCCTCTCCAAGTATTCTGATTAGTTGGGTTGGCATCAGTAACTTAAAAATCCCTATGGCTAAGGGATTTTAACTAGCAGCCAGTCTTGAGAACGGTGGTCCTGAACAGCTATGAGCTTCGTTTCTTAGGCATTTCCCTCTCAGTTTGGATTCCCGGCTTCCACTATTCTGTTTTCCATGTTGCTTCACTGGCCAGCCGGACCAGGTGACTACTACACAGACTATGTGGCCACCAGGTGGTACCGCTCACCTGAGCTGCTGGTGGGGGACACACAGTATGGCCCCCCGGTAGATGTTTGGGCAATTGGCTGCGTCTTTGCTGAGCTGCTATCCGGAGTGCCTCTGTGGCCAGGAAAATCTGATGTGGATCAGCTCTATCTGATAAGGAAAACCCTGGGTAAGTGGCATTTCTGTCCTGATTTGTAGAGAACTGCCTAGCTTTCCCCATGACAGCACCACAGTCCCAGCTCACCAGACACTTGGGGACTTTGTTGCCTCACTGATGTGGCTCCATTAAAAGTGGTCAGGGTTTATTCAAATAATGATAATGAATGATTCCTGAAGATTTACTAATTGTCCAGAAGATAAAGACATAGCTCTTGAGCTTAGGTTGGATCCAGTTAGCTTCTAAAAGCATTACCATGGCAACAGGAACCCTGCAAGGACTTGACTGGTCACTGCTTTTGAGGCTGATTTCACTTACAAGCTGAACCTTCCCTCATCCAGAGTGCTTGGAAGTAGAAGGGTTGATGACTTTGGAGATTTTGATGACATGTCTTAGGGATGGGACCCAAGTCTAAACTCAGAATTCATTTATGTTTCATTTACATTTTATCCACATATCCTGAAGGTCATTTTATATAATCATTTTAATGTGCCCATGTGTTGATTGTGACCAGTCACCTGATGTTGACTATAGAATTTTCTACCTGTGGTATCATGTTAGTGCTCAGTTTCAGATTTTTTAATTAGGGATGCCAAACCCGTATTGGGATATGGTGATTCATGCAGGTGTCCTCTGCAACCTGCCTGACAAGCTTTGGATTATTCAGACTCTTTAGTAGAGGAAAAGCCTCAGCCTCCTAAGCATCAAGAAGAAAGGCTGATTTTTCTCGGAACATTTTTATTTCTATCTTTATTTTTGTCTTGCTTTTTCTTTAACATTAAGGGGAGTGGTAAGGACAGAAAAAAGAAAGGGAGGAACAGTTAAGAAATCCATAAGCACACTCCTTTAATCCCAGCACACTTGGGAGGCAGAGAGGTAGGTGGAGCTCTGTGAGTACAAGGCCAGCCTGGTCTACAGAGCAAGTTCCAGGACAGGCTCCAAAGTAATACAGAGAAACCCTGTCTCAAAAAAACAAAAACAAACAAACAAACACAAAACAGGAAAAAGAAATCCATAAGCAATGACTGTTCTTTTCCAAACCAGGGGGTTAGATACTACTGTGCTAAAGAGCCTAATTTAAAGCAGAATTTCTCTGCTCCATAAACTCTTGTATCAACAATCACCATGCAATTTTGTCTTCCCAAAGTACTGCCTGTGGGTGAGGCTATAGTTCCTACTTTTAATATCTCCACCAATGTCTTGTACTTTGTAGCCTCCTCGGAGCTCATGCAGGACCACTCAGACGTCCTTGGCTATTTCCCCCAGTGGCTTCAAGGCACTCTCATGGCACCCTAGCCTTGGCAGGAGAGGCTGGCAGGGCACGGGGATATATGTCTCCCCTACGCACATACATGGAATTAATTTTTAAAGCTAGGGATGTAAGCTAAGGGGTTTCATTATAGCATTTTCAGACATATGAGTCACCATCCCAGAGGCTATACTTTTGCTTGCTTGTCTGCAACAGAGGCAGGTTCTGGATTTGAGTGAAAGGTAAAGTTGTAAATCAAGTGACCCTGTACTACCTTAGCTAGACTTAGCTTAAGAGCTAGGTCCAGTTTGGTGACAGCACCATAGGCTCCTGGATTCCTCTCTGCCTTAGAAAGTGGCCATCTGTGTCCCAGGGAAGCAGCACCTCATTCCATTTTCCCAGCAGAAGTCTTTCACGGTAACATCCCTAGGACTGTACATGAACACACTGCCAGCTCATTTTGTTGCCATGGCTACAGAACGAGTATCATTTAAAAGGAATCTAGAGACTCTGTTCCAGTTTTTTTTGTGCTGTAAGTGCTTCTAAACAGTAGATGACAAAGTTTCCAGTCTGTCATCGACTAGGGAAACAGGAAAAGACGGTTTCTTACAGACAGAAGACCTTCCCTTAGCGCATATGGTTTAGTAGTCAAATACAGTGTAAGCTCACGAGGGCAAGAATCTTGCAGCCTTCGATTTCTGTTCCTGACACACTGTCCCTGTAGAGCTCAGTGTAGGCTGTGCTGAATGGATGCTCCTCCTCATGGATCCTAAGCAGCCGGGGGGGGGGGGGGGGGGGGGGATGACACACGACACGGGACACACAGGTCCATACTACCGTGGTGGAAAGGCACAGCCCCATGTTTCCTACGCAATTCAACTTACTTCTGTCTCTTTTTGTCCAAAGGGGACCTCATTCCCAGGCACCAGCAAGTATTTAGCATGAATCAGTACTTCAGTGGGGTGAAAATTCCAGACCCTGAGGATATGGTGAGTACCTCATTTTGGAGGCAGCTCTTTAGATCAGGCCAGCCAGGTTTTGGTAGTTCCTCACTTTCCTAGGGCCCATGGCTCAGTCTGCATTGAGAATTTTGGCTAAGAGTGAACGACAGAGAACACTGGAGCAAGCTAATGAGCAAGATCCTGGCCTCAGCTTGAACATAGAAGGCCCTGGGAGCAGAGGCTAGCCAGCCCTCCGGGGCAGGGAAGCAAAGCTGACTGTCCAGCCAAACACGGTCACTCAGAGCCAATCAGCTTTTAAACACACCTAAACATCGACTCATCCAGTGCCAGCAGCTACTATCCCCGAGCATGGTACAAATTCCCTTCTCTACGGTGTGCTTACTTCCCAGAACATGGAGTAAAACCTGTTGCTGTATGGTTAATGCGGGGGAAACACTCCTTTAAAAAGGACTAAGAAAATCTAAATGCTCATATCCCCAACCCGCTTTTAATAATTCACCCCAATGAAACTATTAGACAAGGGTATGGAGGCTTAGCCTTTATATCATTCCCTTTCGTATTTGGTAGGAGGTTAAGTTACAGGCCATTGTGCAATAGCTGTCATGGGGCTAATAAACACAATTAATTCTGTGTTTATTCATGTGGAAAATTCTACAGCAGGCTGCCGAGTGAAGAAAGTTGAGTATTGAACAGTATAATTTAAAATAATTCAAATAAATATTTGGTAAAATATTTTTATTAAATGCACATAAAATGTAAAAAAATACGGTAACTTCCGGGAAGTCATGCAAACTTTTACTTTACTTTCTCTTTGAGAGACGGTCTTAGTTTATAGCCCAGGCTAGCCTTGAACTTATAAGAAATTTAATTCCTTATGAATATGAGTGTTTTTGTCTGCATATATGTCTGTGCATTACGTGCATGCCTGGTGCCCTGTTGGATCCCCTGGAAGTGGAGTTACAGATGCTCCTAAGCAGCCATGTGGGTGCTGGGAATTAACCCTCTGTCCCCTGGAAAGGCAGCCTGCACGCCTAACAGGTCAGCCATTTCTTTAGCCCTGGCTTTGAACTTTTGATTCTCTAGCCTCATAATCCTGAGGGATAAGTATGCAAAGTTCTTTACATTTGTTAAATAAATAGTGCAGCTCAGTGGTAGAGTGCTTGTCCTGCAGACCTTGTGAGTTCTTAGCATGACAAATAAAAGAGTAATAATAAAATTTAAGAGCATAATTAAGGTTTGTGAGTGGCGTTTCTACTGTCTGAGAAAGGTGCTTTCAGCTGGAAGCGAACACTTTATTTCCCAGATAGAAGCTCCTTTGGGCCCTTGCAGTTGCCTTCTGTCTTTGTCCACCAGCAAAGTGTCCATTTCCCCACCAGCTTTGGAAAAGTGGGTCATGCTGGGATGCAGAGGCGAGCACAGCACCTGGCTTATGGGAAGCGACCCACTGGCTCCCTTGTGACCTGGACATCCCCAGTTCTGCACCAAATATCCCTTAGCAATTTCCTGGCTGGCTGGCTGCTGGCGAAGCCTCAGAAACAGCCAGGGCTCTATAAATGTAAAGCACCTCTCCTGGGTCCCAGAGGTTGTCCTGCAAGGGATTTCCTGTTGACAGAAACACAGGAAGCAGCAGCACAGGCCTATGCTCGTTGAACATCTGTGCCTTCTCCCTCTGCGGGGTCAGTAACTCTGCCCAGCAAGGCCTGCTGGCGGCTGGGGCTGGGGAACCGGTTCAGCAGGCTGGAAGGGCCTGGTGTATCACAGCCAACGCAGGTCATCCTAGGCCTGGTTCCTGAGATAGGATAGCTGACCTTAGCGATGTCAGTCTGTAGCATTGCTTATGTTAGATAAGTACACAGAGCTATTTAAGTGGTGGGGGCAAAAGCTACTCTCTCAAGGACTAATACAAGATACAAGAGCAAGTTAGGATTTTTTTCCCTCTTGGTAAACGGAGGCACTTCCTTTTTTGGTTATTAGCATGCGATTGAGAATGTGTTGAAGCTGGCTCCCTGTCTAAAATAACACTGCTCTTGAGCTCTGCTCTACAGCCCCAGCCCCATGCACTGATGAGCCTGGCCAATTGCTCCAGCCCTCAGCTCACACTGACACACGCCATGCACTGGGGACACTGATTCTGTTCAGCCTTTTCAGTGAGACAGCTCCCTAACTCACCTATTCAGAGCAGTCCTCCTATTTGCAGTGTTACTCCCAACCAATTGATGGGCATGCCATAGCCTTAATTGGGCAGAGGGAGATGAGAGCATGCTGGGGAGACTCTAAACTGCTGGCTAATCAGAGAAACAGTAGGCACTTGTGGGAAGTGACAACAATGTTCACTCCAGGGATCCAATAAACATGAGTTCATCTGGGTAGGGATAAAATGTGTTTTGAAGTCCCTTTACACAAATGTCAATAAATGCAATGATTAATGCCCACTTTGGTGATGCTGTTAATTTAAGTGTTAAGTTATAGTCGGGAAAGGCGTTTTACACAAAGCTAGGAAAACAAAAGGACTAGTAGCATGGCATGTGCTTCGTTTCTGCCTTTTGTTCCATTTTCTCCCAGCAGTGTTCACTTACAATGCTACCTCATTCGGGAAGAGGAGGGTGTGGTTAGGAAACAAAGTTGGAAAAGCATTTTGGAGGTGGAGGGAGAAGAGGCTTGGGGACAGTCACAAGGAAGTTATCACTGGGAGGTGGGATGGGAAAGGGCGGGGGAGGCGAGGAAGATGCCAGGAAGGTACGTCCTTTGAGTAGACACTCAAAAGAAATTTAGTGAGGCAACTTTAATTAGTCTGCTGTCAATTGAAAGTCCCTTTTCTTTTTGACAGGAAACCCTTGAGTCGAAATTTCCAAACATCTCCTACCCTGCCTTGAGCTTCTTAAAGGTAAAATCATGGCTTTTAAGAGACCAGGAAGCACACACTTGTCAGAATTAAATGTCAATTGATGCAACATTTAACACCATTCTCCTTTGAAAAACATCAGTTTTGGCCTGCAGAGACGGCTCAGAGTTTAAGAGCACTGGCTGCTCTTCCAAAGGTCCTGAGTTCATAACTGTCTGTAACTCCAGTTCAGAGAATCTGACATTCTCACACAGCCATATTCAGGAAAAACACCAACACACACACAAAACAAAGAAATGACAAACCAATCATTAAAAATGCTCTAGCTCCAGAGGTTCTGATGCCCTTTTCTGGCTTCTGCAGGCACTGCACACATGTGGTGCGCAGACATACATGCAGGCAGGCATTAATACATATAAGATACAAACAAACCTTTAAGTAGTCAACTCCTGGATACATTTTTAAAGTTGGTTTATTTATATATTTGTAGAAATGCAGCATATGTAAAATGTGGCACGGAAACACTTTTCAATATATAGCAAACTTCCCAATATTTCAAAAAGCAGTCCAGGTTTGTTCACTGATACCATCTACATGAATGAAACTGTCAATGGACAAACACAAAATTGAGACAGTTCTTGGGGTATAGGGCTGTGAGTGCTATCTGAGAATGAGCTCCACAGTCTGCTTGAGGGCAAAGAAGTAGTTAAGGATGATGTAATACAAAGGGCTATGCCTTTGCTTGTGTACATACATGATTGTGATGCACAGACTGTTTTAGACCTAACTATCAGGTTCTAGAAAGGGGAATGGAAGGATGACAGTGGTGGAGACGGATAACACTATGACTTTATTTCTACCGTGTATGAACCTGATTCCAGAATAAAAGTACAAAACAGTGAACAAATTCTTCCCATTGGCCACTGAACTGAACTTCAAAATCATGTATGTTCTCCCGCGTGGCAGGGCACCGAATGCCTCAAAAACATGAGGAGGAAACCCCGTCCCAACATTTATCTCTTCTATTTCCAACTGATGAGTGTTTAGTGTTTCACAGAAAACTCATTTCTCACTAGTTCTCAAGCTAAAAAAAGAGAAAAAAAGTTGATTTCATACAAGTAGAGAGCGAACTAATGGCCACCAGAGGCAAGGAAGGGTAGGAAGGACGAAGATACAGATGCTGGACAAACAGCACAGGCAGGGGTATGTTCTAACATGCTGTAGCACAGCGGAGCATTTATTATGTAAGTTGTTGCATAGTTGAAGAACCAGAAAAGAGTTAAGTCTCCCAACAGAGAAATGGAAACTGTTTAGGGAAATATGTTGATCACTACACACTTGTGTACATGTATCTAATTATCACTCCCCATACAATTGTATAACGTTCTATGTTGATTAAAAATGGTGAGAATCAGTATTGGAGAGGCTCAGCCGTAAAGAGCACCTGTCCTTGCAGAAGACCTGGGTTTGGTTCCCAGCACCCAAATGGTACACAACCATGTGTAACCTCCTATGCAGGGGATCCAATGCCCTCTTCCGACCTTTGTGGGCATCAGGCACACAGGATGTGGTGTGCATCCATACATGCAGGGGCATTACTACTCATGCACAAAGTTTAAAATCTAGGGGGAAAATTTAAGTAAATTATTTAAAGAAAAATTAAAAATGAATGAATGTGCTCTGTCTTTCAAAGAACATATGTTATTGCAACTTCAAGATGGAAAAAGGGGTTTTCTGGTCTTTCAGGGCTGCCTCCACATGGACCCGGCTGAGAGGTTGACATGCGAAGAGCTGCTGCGGCACCCATATTTTGACAACATTCGAGAAGTTGGGGATTTGACGAGACAACATGACAAGTCAGTGAGGAAGACCCTGAGACAGAGTCGAAAGCACCTGACTGGGGTAAAACTGGTTCACTGCTTTACAGAAACATTCAAGGTTACACTTCCAAATGATCCCATGCTTGTCGCCTGGCTCTGAGTTGGAATCTAGGTTGACTGACAACTGTGGTTTGCAGCCCCAGCATTCTTAGTCCAGAAGAGGGAGACTGGTCATCTGAATTATCAACCAGGGCTTCAGAGACATTTGCTTTTTAAGGCCCTTTCCTGAATCCTAAAGTTGGCCTTGCCATGCTGCTCCTGATGCTACATAGGAGCCAAGCTGTCTGATGTGCACACACTCAGGTTGCAGGTAGATCCATTGTTTCTCATACTTTGGAGAATGGAATCAGACCTTTGTCCTCCTACCTCAAGTGTCAACATTACAGGTTTCTCCTCTAATGAAATTGTTTTCCTTTCTGGTCCTTTAACAGGACCTAGTGGATACCTGCAGGATAGCACATTTAACTACAGAACAGGATCCAGCTGCAAACATGAATGTCGCCTGGTGAAAGTGGTTACATTGCATCAAATTAAATGGCAAAAATCTGTAATAATCTAGAATCTAGATGAGCCATAGGTAAGATAGGTTGGCTGTCCTTGATCACGTTTGGATCCATGTAGATATATATAAGTTTCAAATTATCTTGCCTTCATGTATTAGTTACCTTCTGTAGCTATGATGAAACATCATGACCAAGACCACTTACACATTAAAAAAAAAAAAAAAAAAAAGGCATGTAACTGGGGGCTTGCTTAAGAGTTTTGGAGGGTGAGTCCATGGCCATCATGGTTTGGTGCATGGTGGTAGGCAGGCAGGCACTGGAACAGTAGCTGAAAGCATACATCTTATCCACAGGAAGCAGAGACAGACAGAAAGGCAGACAGACGACAGAGACAGAGAGAGACTGGTAAGGGCTTCTGAAACTAAAGTCCAAGGCCAGTGACACATTTTCTCCAACAAGGCCACACCTCCAAATCCTTCCCCAAACAGTTCCACCAACTAGGAACAAGTATTCAAAATAGTGAGAGCCATTCTCATTCAAACCATACTTAATCTTTCCTTTGTATGCCCTACTTCCTCAAATATACACCTGGATGGTGTGTGGGTGTGTGTGTGTGTGTGTAGCGACAGGGGGGTGGCTGGGCAAAGAAGAGATGGAGAGATTATTAGGAATAATAGCTTTTTAAATGTCAAGATTCTGAGGTAGACCATGGTTAGTCTCTATCAGATAGACCCAATGAGTAAATCAGTTCTCTCCTTTTCTCTTCGAGTTATCTATACAAAGTGTTACTTTGTGTTCAAGAGCAAAGAGACCTGCTACAATAATTTCTATTGGAAAGAACAAAGAACTTCACTGTTAGGTGTATTGAAGTCCTAAAGAACTGTTATATTTAAAAGCACTAAAGAATATCTTTATTCTAGAAACCTAAGGCCACATGGTACAATTAAAAAAATACATAGGCCTATTCTTATTTTCATTTGACATTGACATTATTTTTGTTGTTGTTGTTGAAGCTTGAAGGAAAATGGATGTGTTGCTTTTTAATTATAGGAGTAAGTGGGCAACATGCTTAAGTGTTCTGCACATCTGTTTTCTCTACTAGATAGGGCGTTGGCTTACATGATATTTTCAAACACTGTGAATCTGTTTTGTTCCCCAATAATGCAGATATTACCCACTTTTCCATAGTCTTGGAATGTGTGTGTGTGTCTGTGTTTGTGATGCTAGGGCTGGAATCTAAGGCCTCTCACATGTGAGCAAGCAAGTAGTTATTACTGATACACACCTCCAGTCTTATGTTTTTCCTTTATAACATGGGTTCTGTGTGTTTGTGCATGGTGATGGGAACTTAACCCAAGATCTTGGTTGCATTTGTGTTTTTTTGGAGGGGGGTGGATGGGTCTCCCTACGTAACCCAGGCTGGTTCCATCGTCATCTCACTGCTTCAGTTCCTTGAGTGCTAGAATCACATTTTGTGCCAACATACCTGGCTTGGACTGATATTTTTAAATATAAATATTTAAAATTTAAAATATAAAAATTTAAAATTAAAAATAAATATAAAATATTAAAATATTAAAAATAAATAAAAATAAAAAGTAAATTGAAATGTGTCTCCTTCTCTCAGGTTTTGTATTTTATAAGGGAAAGATTTATTCCTGCCCTCCCAAAGTGACTTCTCTTGTGATGTGTTCTAAATAATAATGGAGTCCACTACATGGCCTAGTTTTGAACCCGACTGTGTTTTATGTTTTCAGTTGCAGTACCTACCTCAGCTAACCAGCAGCAGCATCCTTCCAGCTTTGGACAATAAGAAGTACCACTGTAGTACCAAGAAACTTAACTACCATTTCCCAAACATTTAAGGAGCTAGCAGAGTAATGAAGAAGTGATCCGCATTTTGAAGAAAAGAAACGTACACATTTGATCCCTGTGTTGAGCATACATCAGGCAAAAACACAGACCGAAAGCTGGAGGCCACTTAGCACAATGTGAAGAGAAATTCCAGATCCAGATCCCCATGCTTGATGGAGATGTCCAGAGAAGAAATCAAAAGCTTGGGGTTTCACTGGGTATCCAAGCAGCAGAGCTTAAAGACAGGATATAAACTCTATTTATTGCCATAGCTGTAACAGTAGATGTTGGCAAAAGGACTTATGCTTCAGTTTGCTGTCACATGTGGAAAGCAGACCATATGTATTTCTTTAGATCTGTGCTGCCTTGGGTCCTATCTCTAATGTTTTTAGATCATATTTAGGTGTAAGGAGTAGGTTTTTCCTCCTGCTGCTGGTCTTGTCCTGCCGCCGCGCCAGCCCCAATTAACACAGAGAGACTCTGTATTTGATATAATGCTGTTGGCCAGGTACTAGTTTCTTATCGGCTAGCTCTGTCTTAAGTATTAACCCATTTCTGTTGATCTATGTATTTCCACGTGCTTTCATCTTACCGGAGAGCCGGCTGGCATCCTGCTCTCTCCAGACTTTCCATCTTGACTCCTCCTTACTACTTCCTCTTTCCTCCTTGTCTCCTAGTCCCTCCTATCTTCCTTTCCTATTGGCCAACAGTGCTTTCTTCATTAACCAGTATGAGAAACATATTTACAGAATGACATCTCCCATCATTTAGGTATGATTTTAGTCCCTGAAATCTAAATGTTTGTGATTCTATTTCCTGTTTGCTCTTTCTGGATTTTCCTGTTTTTAAACACGTTTTAGAATATCTAAGTTACTCAAAATATCCAAAGTCTTAAAAGTTAATAGTTTTTGTGCACATATAACTGATGAGATACTTGTACATCTCTTACATACACTTTTATCTTTACCCTAGGAAAGGGATAGAATGAGACCCACAGAATGAACCTGTCAGCCTGAAAATAATTATCAGTTTGTTCTTCAGCTTCAACTTCTTACCTGAAGACTGTTCTATAAGCAAAACTCATACATGATCTGGATTTAGACAGAATTGCTTGTGAACTTTAGACTGAATCAGAAAACATGTAGGTTGTTAATTGATATTCTCTCCTTAAAGTATCTCTTATTTATCTCTTATTACATTATATTATATCATGAATGTCTGTGAACACACACTCATACATTTGTACATGGATGTATGTATACATGCCATGCTGATGATTACAGTACAACAAATAAGGAAGTGGTAAAAATAATACCGAGGAAATTTTGGTTTTAAATGACGAGACTTAAGATTAAAATTACCTTCGATTTGGTTTGTTATTCCCTATGGCAAAGCTGTTCTCCCTGTCCCTGGACGCGGGCAATGTGAGCCCCACACAGCTTTTCACTATCATTTCTGGTCCACGGGCTGCTAGTTCACAGGAGTTCTCGGACATGGATGTAAAGCTCTGTTTTACTGCATCCTCAGAACATTTCTTCTGCATTCTCATTTTCTTCCTGTGTCAATTTCATGACATCACTTGGGCCCATTCACTAAAACCTGTCACCTGTTCAATAATCTTGGCTACTCCAAGGCAAAGTAAGGCTTCCTAAATATATATAGCTTACTCCACAGACATGACAGTGGGTTAAAAACAACTCCAATATTATTCAATTCCTCTTAAATAGCCATGATTTAAGTGACAAGGAAGGATATCAACTTCTGTGAATAGTTAAAATTGCCTTTTCCCCCTTTAAATCAATGAAAATGTATTTGAAAGAAGCAAATGATTGTAACTGCCTCGTTTATCTAGTAGTTTTACAGAAAACTATAGACTACAAAAGACTCTCCAGATGAAATCACCATGAACTGGCTGTTTGGCCACACAGTACTAACCTGAGATGAAAGGGCTTGTCTCTCTTTGGTATGGTCTATTTATGCTTACGCTCAATGGAGCCAGTTTTGCAAACCTCTCCTTCCACATGGAATCGCCACACACCACAAGACCATTTTACATGTCTTCTACCTTGTCTTCGTTTTTATTTACTATTTTTCTGACTTGTAAATGACAGGAATATATGTAATTTGCATATTCCTATGAATTAAAGTGTTTTACTAGAAGCATTGTTAGTTCTAAAAACAGTGAAAGCTCCCATTTCTGCCTGAAAGCTGGACTGCAGAAGGTCATTCCTAGTCAAATTTATGTCCAGTAGCCTGACAGCCAACTATACATACAGAAACCTACATGTGAATCAGCATATCACTAACAACAATAGCTATTTCAAGTAAAAAATTAAAGACTAGGTTTTATCCCCTTGTGACATTCTTTATTAGTGTTTTTCTAGATATAAAATTCATTTTCATATGCATAGTTTTTATGTCTCCTGAGTTCATAGGAAGAAGCATTCAAAGTATTTGAGGGACAGCAAAATTTAGGTTTTAATCAACACACTAACATTTTGTTTGAAGCAGATGGGGAGTAAAGATAGTACAGTTCCTGATTTGTTTTACCAGTAAAACTAGTTGGCTATAGAAAAGAACCTGTGTTCAGTTTTAGCCAGCAGTAGTCCAAGCTTAAGAGCAGGACGGATTAGCCAGCACTTTTCATTCTGAGAAAGGGTATTTTAAAAAGTGTGTTCTATGGAGAGCACAGCGGTACAGGAGCTTGAGTAATGCATGCATGCAGACCCTGGGAGGCAGCGCAGCACGTGCTCACAACACCATTCACACTGCACACAACTGACTCCATCACTGAGTCTGTAACTGAGCTTCAGGTTTTCATAATCGGGCATTCGCAGCAACACACTTCAGTGCCTTTAAGGATGTAAATTACTATAACATCAAAGAGAATATTTGCATTGCAGTTTAAAGAACTCTATGCCAATATCTACACAAAGCCATATCTACAGTATATATGCCAATGAGGAATATATTAGAATTAAATTGTTACATCATATTTTAAAAAGTGATTCCATGTACATAATTTCTCACTTCTAACTATGTAACTTTGGTGAGTCACTTTTGAATATTTATTGCCTGTGTAACATCCACTCTCCATTTCTAAGCCATTTACTCAGTTCTCTTGGTGATTCTGTATATTTATAGTTATTTAGTATCGGCAATTTCAAATGACCCTGTATAGTGAAATCAGACGCTTATTTTACTTCAGGTTTAATTTCAGTTCTAGAGAAGGCAGTGCTGTCTTAAAGACTTGGACAAGATTGTCTTTATCTTTTACTCTAGGAAGATCACTTAAGAACAAGTACCGGAGGTTCCTGCAAACAGAGGAAAAAAAAAAAAACAAAAAAAAAACAAAGTCACACAGTGTGGTCTTTTATGGCTATAAAAATTAATTCCATTTATATGATGTATAGGTGGAAGGTATTCATATCACCCCACACCTTCAAAATGGCTTCTAGAGCAACAGTCTTCGAAGGCCACTTCAAATGAAACTCATGCAAGACTTTAAAATGATAATTTTTCCTTATTTCATGGATATTTCTGGGTCTTTTTATTTCTATATACATAAAAATATATCTCCTTTATACATAAATATTAGTAATAACACAAACAAACAACCCTCCTGGAAGTTGTTTGTTTGTTTTGGATTTTCGAGACAGGGTTTCTGTGTATTGCTTTTGAACCTGTCTTGGAACTAGCTCTGTAGATCAGAATGGCCTTGAAATCACAGAGATCTGCTTGCCTCTGCCTCTGCCTCTGCCACCCGAGTGCTGATATTAAAGGTGTGCGCCACCAATGCCTGGTTCACTCCCTGAAGTTCTTAAAGGCATTCAAGTTTCTGTAAGAGGAAGAAGCCTTGACACCTCAGCTACTGTTGAAAGATAAATTGTTTAGTACTTTGGTTCTAATGTTTCAAACATCTCAAACTGCCTAAAGTACTGAGATTACTGTTATATCCTCTGATTATTCACTTTATTAGGTTTCTGTTTTGGCCACTTACCTAAAATGTCGCAAAGCAATGATGCCATTGTCTGTGACATTCCCACAGGCAATTATTTCCATTTCTAACAGGCTTTTCTGTAATTTTTCAAGTTGACTAAGTCTCTGCAAACAGTTATCTTCAATATAATGACACTTGCATAGCGTTATTTTTTCAACATGCTCTAGGCCCTCTGGGGGGAAAATGCACAGTTTAAGAATTTGTTTTACTATTACCATGACTAACAGGATTGTTCTAGCTTTGACCATTCCATGGAAACTGGAGTGATTGCTCACATGACATATTCATTACACTGCTCGGGCTGAAGTTATATGCCCATGCATTGAAAAGAAAGGATTTCCCATATGCTTAGTCTTATATTACTGAGGGGTTCACAAAGACATAAGTTTGACTAAGATAGTCTGACAAAATCAAACAGGCTTTGATTTTAAGTGAACAAAAGAATACAGAAAGAAGCTTATAAGGGAAAAAGAAAGTTGTATATCACATGATCTCTATTTACTTTGAAGATAAATAAATACCTAACACAGGAATAAACAAACAATTTTACTGAAATGGGGGTAAAAAAAAACCCAACATGACCTTGACTATAACAGTGAGCCAACTGCAACAAAACATTCACTGTAGATCACCTGCATGCCTGAGAAGCGAATGACAGGACTCACCCATGTGATCCAATCCAATGTCCATGATACAAGAATCAGTGGCATCAATTGCTTGAATCTTATATCTGTCCATGGAGCCTCCTGGGAGGCTGTTGTAGTCCTGTAGCCACTTCTGATGGCCACAGTAGCGTACTTTGGCCCCACACCGAAGTAGCCACTCAGATGCTGCCCTGTCAGGGCCAACATCCCTGAGGCGCTCATAATCTACTCTGTTGACAAGGAAACAGAAATAGTTTACTTCCACTGTCACTGGTTTCTTAGTTGTGTTCATCAATATAAATATGAGCCAAAAATACATTTTTATTTCAAGTGACTGAGAAGTGTATTAATGGGATCCATGAAAATAAAAACTGTAGCTCTCTTTAGCTCTTTATGCTTGCTTTTTCTTTCTTTTTACCTTCCTTCCAATTTTTTTTTTTATTCCTTTAGTTTTACTCTCTGGCAAGCTCTAACAAGTTATACCAATATAATTACTAATGTTTTGGAGGCAGACTCTCACTGTGCCAGCCAGGCTAGTCTTGAATTCATGATTTTTTCTCCCCCTTTGCCTACAAAGTGGTAAGATTGTAGGTATGTGATCTCATACCTGGCATGATGGCATTTTATTTTATTTAATGTTTTCATTCTGGGGCTTAAACCTAGGTCCTCCCAGTATTAGGCAAGCATTCATATGTGTCACAGAGCTTGACAGCAGAGATCCCTATCACAATAATGACTATCTGGGGACCAGTTTTCATTACTGATAAACCATTAAAGAGAAGCCAGGCATGGTGGCACACTTTTAATCCCAGCACTTGGGAAGCAGAGGCAGCTGGATCTCTATGAGTTCAAAGCTATCCTGGTCTACATACCAAGTTCCAAGACAGCCAGAGCTACAGAGAGACTCTATCTTAACAAACAAATGATTAAATGGGGAATAATTTTGAAGCTATTTTCAAATTTGTCTCTTTGTGCTATTTAATAATTTCTGCAAATGCCTTTTTCTTTGGAGTCACAATGGTGATATTAAGCAGTTAGAGTTTGTTATACCTGTTTCAATACGGTTTCTATGAATATGCCACATACTAAGTTTTTAGTTTTTATTTATTTCATTTAAATTTTTCTCTATGTAGTCCTGAATGTTCTGGAATTCACTATATAGACCAGGCTGGCCTTGAGTTCACAGAGATTCTCCTACCTCTGTCTCTCAAGTGCTGGGATTAAAGGTGTGAGCCACCACATCTGGCCACATTAAGTGTTTAAACACCAGAGTTCTCCCAATAGGACTCAAAAGGCTAATAACAATCCTCAAGAAGCTAGAGAATGAGGTATTTCAAAGTTACTTATACTGTTGAGTATAAAAAGAATAAAAATTCATTTTAGGTAACTTGAAGGGTATCAACAGATAAGAAAAAAACCCACTTGAGGCTGGAGAGACAGCTTACTGGGAAAGAAAACTTTTTGCTCTTGTAGAGGACCTGGGTTCAGTTCCCAGCACCTACACGGTGGCTCACAACATCTGTAGCTCCAGTTCCAGGTGATGCTGCCCTCCTAACCTTTGTAGGCACCAGGTACACACATGGTGCATGACATCCATTCATGCAGGCAACACACATACATGTAAAGTAAAAAAGAAAAAAATTTTTAAAAAGAAAAGAATCCACTAATAGTCTGTAACTCAGATAAGCAATTTAATATTTTATAATATATTTTTCTGTTTATGTTTTATTTTGTTTGGAAAAATAGGATCATACTATACATACAAAATACATACAAAAATAATTTGAAACACAAGAAATACCAACTAGCCGAAGAGCAATTTAGAACTTGTCCAGTTATAAAAATTCCCACATTTCTTCATTTAATTAGAGTCACTTACTTATTAAACACTGTATTCAACCATTCCCAGAAGTATCTGGAGTCACATGACCATGGGATTTTCTTTAAGCTGCAGAGCTGCCTTGAAATTTTTCCAAACACCGTCATTTGATCTAGACAAACAAAACATGAACTCATCAACCAGAGTCCCACACATCTAGGAACTTACTCCACAGCTCCGTGTTGATTCCATTCTTGTGCCAGTAGCTGATGTTATTGACCAGGCACTCCTGTCTCTAATTCTTGAGTTTTATTTGTTTCTTATTTTCTCAAAATGAGGGGTTGGGCTAGATGATGTCTAAGGTCCCTTCTAGCTTAAATCTCAGTGTTTGAACCTTAATTGTCTGCCTGTTGTCCCTTAATGTTTATGTTCTGCATAAACGCAGACTTGCTCAAACCAGCTCTTCTTCCAATATACATTTCAAAAACAAATGACAAATTATAATCCCATAGGGAATAATGTGACAGGGGTACAGTGTTTCCATCCAGGTAGGGAAAGGAAAACAAAAGCAGATCTACTGAGGGAAGAGACACAGTGAACCACCAGAGCACAGACAAACCCACGCCGGGCAGAAGAGGAGCAATTTCACTTCTCTGACCCTGGGTTTTCTCATCTGTGAAAAGATGATTTGTTCAGATGATTTCCAGATATGAGCCAAGAAAATAATCTTTGATTAAGTCTCAATCGATTTATCTGAATTCAAGTTCTCTAGTTGTGGGCCAGGAGTAAGGGGTGGGGGCTGCAAGGAAAGTAAAATGTGGCCTCCATCTTTGAGGAAATTACAAATTAATCCAGGACAGAGTGGTTCAAGTCACCAAGTAGTTAAAATAAATGACAAGACTTGATGAAAGCCTTGAAAGGGCTAAAATAAGGACAGAGATGATTCAACAGACTACAAAGCCAGGCACAGCTAGGGCAGATTATACGCCATGGCAGGAAAGTAAGGCAGTTTGGCTTGTCCATGGGGTCATGAAGAGTAAGACAATACACTTTCAGGTCAGGAAAGGTCTTGCAGACAGGTTATGTGGACTGCATTCTATAGACAGCAGAGGGTCACTGAGATGTCAGGGTAGAGCATGCCATTGCTGAGGCTGTGCTCCAGGAAATTTACTCAGACAGCAGCATCAAGACCCAATCAAGTAAACTATGGTGACATGGTCCTGTAATCCTAGCTACTTTAGAGGCTGAGGCAGGAGGATCACTGGAGGAAAGGAATTTGAGTTTAGCCTGAGCAATATAGCTATAGTCTGTTTCAAACAAACAAATGAATACAGAATTAGTTAACAAGGCTTCATAGGAAAGGACATAGTCACAGGAGGATAGAATGACATTCGAGTTAAAATTCCATATGACTAACAAACAAATGAATACAGAATTGTACAGAAATAGTTAACAAGGGCTTCATAGGAAAGGACTTAGTCACAGAAGGATAGAATGACATTAGAGTAAAAATTCCATATGATTCAGTAAGGGACATATAGAGACAAGAGCTAGAAGACTTGAAGATGATACTATGCTTTGGTCCTGAATCTGTGGTAGGATGGTGATGTCATTTTCTGAAGCTAATATCAAGAATAGTTTAATGAATAAAGTGCTTGTCCCCAAACATGAGGACCTGAGTTTGAATCTCCAGCATTCATGTAAAAAGCCTATTTGGCAGCATGTACCTATAATCTCAGTATGGGGAAGTACAAACCCTTCACTGGACAGCTAGTCCAGCCTAATTGGTGAGTGCCAGGATCAGTGGGAGACCCTCTGGAAGCTAAGGTGGAAATGTGACAGGGCCTCAGAATGTAACAACTGAGTCCATAATGGAAGCACCACTCAGGCCATAAAACTCAGCACGTAGACAGCATCACCTGCCAAAATGGGAACAAAGACTTAATCCACGGAAGTTTATAGTTATGGGCAAGTCTCATATTGACCTTACTTTTTGGATTCTGTTGTTCTACTTCTGGCTAATTATTCTTTTTAACTAAAGCCTGTCAATATAGAACATGGTCTTTGTACTTAAAAGCTCTCCCTGAGATCCCAAATACCCAGTGTAGTCACCAGTCAACTAATACTTTCTACTGGCTTAAACCAGTCTCTGGTGGATGCCCCACAACAGAGAGATTGAGAACACTCAATGTTGACCCTGACCTTCACACGCGCACACACACACACACATACAAACCAAGATAAGTGAACGGGGGGGGGGGGGCAGGGCTGTGGGCTTAGTTTTCTCATATTCTAAATATGAAGTCCTGGCAGGACTCCTAAGGGTAGACAACCAACAAAATCACTGGAATCAGTCACAGTATTGGAGCTAGAAGGAACTTAGGTCAGCTACATGAAACCTCTCATTTAGAGGTGAGGAAACTGAAGCCTTGATATTAAGTAACATGCTGACACTCTAAATCCTTTCTGGAACAAGGTGGGGCATTAATAAATGCATGTGTCTAAAGGAACTTGCTCAATGTTTCATAGCAATTTGTGTCAGTGTTGCATCTGAACCTAGAACTCTTTCCTACCAGGCAGGGCTCTGGATAATTCTAGAACTCAGATGAGAGAAGACTTAAAAGATACCTGAGTGGGAGAAGTATTTTAGCTGAGGAAATGGTGGGGTGTTGAGACAGTGAAATGTGAAGCCTGGTGATGGAATCTGGGGAAGACCTACTGTTCTCATGCCTCTCCTCTCCCCTCCCCTCCCCTCCTCTCCTGTCTCACCCTACCCCTCCCCCTTTTTTGGCAGGGTTGGGAATTGACCACAGGGCTATTAAATAAGTACTCTCCTATTCAACTGATGGTACCTCTCAGACTCCATCTTTCTACCAAGGCTGTCCATCACCACAAATCTCTGCCTCTGCTACATCCTGCAGTTTCATCCTTGCCAGACTCTTGTTAAAGCTCTCTCCACCTATGCCCACCCCTAATAACTCCTTTGTTGCCATTTACAAATCTGGGCTTTCTCATCCTCTATTCAAGCTATTCCCTCTATTAATTCCACCCCCAACTTCATCTGTGAAAATTTTACCCAACTTCTCATTTAAACGCCACGCCCACCTACTCACTCATTCATAAATGCTCACTGAATAATATTTGCTATATTTAATAAAAGCCAATGGCGAGACAATGCAGCAACAAGAGAAGGTACAAAGAAGGATCCCAACCTGTCATAAAATCCATGGTCTAATGAAAAAGACAGCTGACCTGGAAACACAAATACTTGGTACTTGGAGACTTGGACTGTGTTCAAAAGCCTAAAAGGAGGGCAGGGGAGGGGCAGAGATTCATACTAGAGATTTTTTTTTTTTTGAGGTGGGTCTTAAACAGCGATTAAAAGTTTTCTAGCAAGGTGTGAAGCCACACTCCTTTAATCCCAGCACTTGGTAGGCAGAGGCAAGAGATCTCTGTGAGTTCAAGGCTAGCCTGGTCTACATAGTAAGCTCCAGACCATCCAGGACTACACAGTGAGACCCTGTCTCAAAAACTAAGAGTTTTCAGAAAGGGAGATTAAGCAGGCAGAGCTATAAGAAGAACAAGGATTACTTGCTGATTAGCAGTCTTCAGTGGCCAGCTATCCATTGAATACTTTTGTTGGAGTTACTTTAGTTCATTTTAAAATCTAGTTAAAATAAAGGTAAGGCTAGCCAGCGGTGGTGGTGCACAACTTTAATCCCAGCACTTGGGAGGCAGAGGCAGGCAGATCTTTGTGAGTCTGAGGCCAGCCTGGTCTACAGAATGAGTTCCAGGACAGCCAGGGCTGTTACACAGAGAAACCCTGTCTCAAAAAACTTAAATAAATAAATAAAGGTAAGGCCAGCTTTATTTTAACTATCATTTCTAAAAATGTTAGGTGTTATCCTTAAACCGAGTTATAGTAAAAATTAAATTTATATCTGGAAATAAAAGCTTAAAAATTCTGTGAGTTTTTACAATTCCAACTTCAACTTTGCAGACTGACATCTGAGAAACACTTCCTGCTTGAAACCAAGCAGCCAGCAGTGGCGATGCTCTCTATGTGGAAAGAGGAGACCTCTAGTGGCAACTAAGAAAATGTGACACTAAACCAGTTAAAAGCCTAGTAGAAAGTCGTTGTTGCTATATGACTGATGCAATAAATAATCTAGAAGTTTAAATTATATAAAAAAAACCCCACACTTCTGTTTATTATCAGAAGAAGCCCTAAGTTTATAATAGTGTTTCTAAAATTTGCAATAATGTTCATGAATAAGGGCCAAATCTCTAATGTGCTACTACACACTCACATACATACATATAGATTCACACACACACACACAGACTTGTACATACACACATTCTCACACCGATATTTGAGTTTTCTAAGTAGAGTTGATAGCACTTCCTCATTTGCATAAAGTGAATATTTTATATGTGGAACTTTTGATTATATATATTAGATGCAATTCCTGAATAGACTATTATTGATGACTAGTTTGTTGGCCAAAGACTGAATTAGTTCTTGAGAGTGATAGTGTGGAGAGAGGGGTGGAGCTTCAGAATGGGTAAACATCCCCGTAAATATAACTCTATTCCACTGTAAACTCATAGCTCTTGCTTGATTACTGGGGGTCTGAATCAATTGAAACTGACAGAGTCATCTGTTAGGTGGTAGAAGCAAAAGTCCCGAACCATTCTCAGGCCATCACAGGGTACTCACCAAACTAACTTTTTATTGGCTCTTGCCTGGATAAAAGGTGAACATGATCTCTCAGCTGAGGAGTGTGGCGTCAGTAATACAAATGTCTCTCATTGAAGACATTACAGAGCATAGGAATGAAAGGTAAACTCTTATTTGAAATTACTGAAAGAAACTGTGCAGATCCTCAAATAAGGCAAGCTGAGAATAGCTTGTATATTCTTTCATCCTCCAAAAGTAAGAAGTACATGCTCAAAATCACACACCAGTATAAACAAAGACAAAAGGTGTGACTACAGGCCAACTGGCCCACAGAAGGCTAATCACAGCCTACCCCTCTATGTAGAATTAAATTGACAATATCCTTCTTGTCTTGACCTTTTCCCCTCCAGTACCAGGAACTGCTAGGTCTTGCTCATCCCCATGCTCTACCACTAACCTATAACCCCAGCGAATCAAATAAGCCTTCT